ATTCAGGTAATAGTTCTTATTTTTCTTTACCAGTTTTTAATGAGAGGCCTCTACTTTCTGTTTTGCAGCTTCCATTTCAGACTTAAAACCTCACCTCAGTCACTATAAGTATGCATTCCATGGAGGTGGAGGCACACTGCCAGTTATCATTCTCAATGGACTTGGTACACCGCAAGGAAGATCGAAACCAGCCATGATAGACCCGGGCTAAACGAGGAAATATTGAGTCGAGCCAAAGACAATAAATAAAGGCGCTGCTTGGGAGGCAACCCAATGGGAGTTCATTCCTTTATCTTTTTATTTTTGTTTATCGCGTTCATATTTTAGTTATTTTTGTCCTTTTCTTTGCATTACACCTTACATTGGGAATAATGTAAGTTTTAAGTGTGGGGAATGTGATTTAGATATATGCTACATTTAGATTGGGTTTACATTTCAAAAAATTTTGGAAATTTTTTGCATGATTTTTCAAGAAGAAGAGTTGAGGTTAATTGATTTTTTTGGTTGTGTATGCTAGTTGCAAGAATTAATTAGGTTTTTGAAGAATTCATAACAAGATTGAATGAATAATCTTACAATTAGAGTTAATTGATTTAGTTATTTTCTTTGAGAATGGTAGTAACCAAAATTCTATAGACAAAAAGTCTATGAGATTTTGAGCCTTTAGACTGATATATCCATAATAGTCTCACTATTTCTTTCATGTGTGATATTCTTTCAAGGTTTTATTTCTCTAGAACTAGCATTAATTCTCTTCAAGATCACATTGATACATGTATGCACAAACATGATTAAGGCCCTCTTTGTTACATAAATTAGAAACATTAGCCAAATAGCCTAACCTATAATTAAATTTTCCTTTGATGAACCCCTTTGAGTCTTATTGCCTTTTTTTTTGTGTAAACCCAAGTTATAAGCTTAAAATAGGAAAAAATGTCTTTACCCAAACTTTAAAGTTAGTGGAGTATTGTTTATCATCACGATATGTGGGTGTCCAAGAAAATAAGTGTGGGGGAGTAAAATTTTTTGGTAGTGTTATGATTGGTGGAAGGGAACACGTTTCAATTTCAATTCATAAGTTCCATT